AGAGGACATGGATTGGGGGCACGGGGCAGGACGCTCTCGGAAAAGTTGATTATGATGGCGTAACAACTGCGAGCTGGTGCCCTAATCCGGCAGTTGCAGCTGCAAATGTTGCAGTAGTTGCAGCTCCAGCATTAGAACGGTACTCCGCATTCCTAATCCAAATCCTAATCCTAAGCCACGCCATTCAAAGGGCCAGACCGCACAGCCCCGCTCCCAGAGTGTTGCGAAACACAAGGCACAAAGTTATGGCTGGCTTTGTGTCCTTTCTGCGCACTTTTCCGCACTCGACCCATTCAGGCATTGCCAGCTTAAATATTTAATTTCATTACGACAGGACTCCATACGCTCGTGCAGGATGTGCAGGATACGCGGGGAGGCAAAGACTGAGAGATATCAGGCATTCATCAGCCATTGAAAAGGAAAAGAAGCTCTGCAAAGGAAGTGGAAAAGTGGCGGGAGAAGGAGAATCAGACCGGAGAAAGGAAACATTTATGTGGCTTTATGTATTTCTGTATGGAAGCCCACTTCCATGGGGCTGCCTTCCTTTGACTTGGCTTGCATCGTGAAATGCTTTTCCTTATTGTGCCAAGAGCTCCTTGAAGAGCCAGCAGTGAAGAGGGCCTAGAGGGGCCTGTGCGATGCCAGGAATCCAGAGTTATAATTATGAAATTGCTAATAATATGTGAAATGATGTTTTGACAAGGCACTCCAGATGTACGCAGTATTCTGTTTCCCTTAAAAGAATTATGACGCAAATTGGGTCTCCGACTTTAATATTCTTGGCATTCTTTTCATGAAAGGCTTTAAAAGGCTATTCCTACGGTTGGCAGTTGAATGTAAGTGGTTCCATTGTGCTATATATTGTAGTATATGTATTACATAAAATAAGTATAATTTCCAAGGGTCATCCCTATAAAATAATGCGTTTTCTCATTTTTCCCACTTTTGTTCCTTCCGATGGCCATAGCTCTGCCAATTCGTATCCGATCAGGAAATAAAGTACCATTTTGTAATCAGCGAACCCAGAAGAGACTTTCCTCGTTAAAAACGTTCCTGAAATATCGTTTTTAATTTTTTCGAATTTTTTCCAAGGTACCCCTATAAAATTGTGTGTCTTCTCATTTTTCCCACTTTTGTTCCTTCCGATGGCCACAGCTTGGCCAATTCGTATCCGATCAGGAAACAAAGTACCATTTTGTAATCAGCAAACCCAGAAGCGACTTTCCTCATTCAAAACGTTCCTGAAATATCGTTTTTAATTTTTTCGAATTTTTTCCAAGGGGTACCCCTATAAAATTGTGTGTTTTCTCATTTTTCCCACTTTTGTTCCTTCCGATGGCAATAGCTCTGCCAATTCGTATCCGATCAGGAAATAAAGTACCATTTTGTAATCAGCAAACCCAGAAGCGACTTTCCTCATTCAAAACGTTCCTGAAATATCGTTTTTAATTTTTTCGAATTTTTTCCAAGGGGTACCCCTATAAAATTGCGCGTTTTCTCATTTTTCCCACTTTTGATCCTCCCGATGGCAATAGCTCTGCCAATTCGTATCCGATCAGGAAATAAAGTACCATTTTGTAATCAGCAAACCCAGAAGCGACTTTCCTCATTCAAAACGATCCTTAAATATCGTTTTCAATTTTTTCGAATTTTTTCCAAGGGGTACCCCTATAAAATTGTGTGTTTTCTCATTTTTCCCACTTTTGATCCTTCCGATGGCCATCGCTCTGCCAATTCGCATCCGATCAGGAAACGAAGTACCATTTTGTAATCAGCAAACCCAGAAGCGACTTTCCTCATTCAAAACGATCCTTAAATATCGTTTTTAATTTTTTCGAATTTTTTCCAAGGGGTACCCCTATAAAATTGTGCGTTTTCTCATTTTTCCCACTTTTGTTCCTTCCGATGGCAATAGCTCTGCCAATTCGTATCCGATCAGGAAATAAAGTACCATTTTGTAATCAGCAAACCCAGAAGCGACTTTCCTCATTCAAAACGATCCTTAAATATCGTTTTCAATTTTTTCGAATTTTTTCCAAGGGGTACCCCTATAAAATTGTGCGTTTTCTCATTTTTCCCACTTTTGTTCCTTCCGATGGCAATAGCTCTGCCAATTCGTATCCGATCAGGAAATAAAGTACCATTTTGTAATCAGCAAACCCAGAAGCGACTTTCCTCATTCAAAACGTTCCTGAAATATCGTTTTTAATTTTTTCGAATTTTTCCAAGGGGTACCCCTATAAAATTGTGTGTTTTCTCATTTTTCCCACTTTTGTTCCTTCCGATGGCCATCGCTCTGCCAATTCGCATCCGATCAGGAAACGAAGTACCATTTTGTAATCAGCAAACCCAGAAGCGACTTTCCTCATTCAAAACGATCCTTAAATATCGTTTTCAATTTTTTCGAATTTTTTCCAAGGGGTACCCCTATAAAATTGTGCGTTTTCTCATTTTTCCCACTTTTGTTCCTTCCGATGGCAATAGCTCTGCCAATTCGTATCCGATCAGGAAATAAAGTACCATTTTGTAATCAGCAAACCCAGAAGCGACTTTCCTCATTCAAAACGATCCTTAAATATCGTTTTCAATTTTTTCGAATTTTTTCCAAGGGGTACCCCTATAAAATTGCGCGTTTTCTCATTTTTCCCACTTTTGATCCTTCCGATGGCAATAGCTCTGCCAATTCGTATCCGATCAGGAAATAAAGTACCATTTTGTAATCAGCAAACCCAGAAGCGACTTTCCTCATTCAAAACGTTCCTGAAATATCGTTTTTAATTTTTTCGAATTTTTTCCAAGGGGTACCCCTATAAAATTGTGCGTTTTCTCATTTTTCCCACTTTTGTTCCTTCCGATGGCAATAGCTCTGCCAATTCGTATCCGATCAGGAAATAAAGTACCATTTTGTAATCAGCAAACCCAGAAGCGACTTTCCTCATTCAAAACGATCCTTAAATATCGTTTTCAATTTTTTCGAATTTTTTCCAAGGGGTACCCCTATAAAATTGTGCGTTTTCTCATTTTTCCCACTTTTGTTCCTTCCGATGGCAATAGCTCTGCCAATTCGTATCCGATCAGGAAATAAAGTACCATTTTGTAATCAGCAAACCCAGAAGCGACTTTCCTCATTCAAAACGTTCCTGAAATATCGTTTTTAATTTTTTCGAATTTTTTCCAAGGGGTACCCCTATAAAATTGTGCGTTTTCTCATTTTTCCCACTTTTGTTCCTTCCGATGGCCATCGCTCTGCCAATTCGCATCCGATCAGGAAACGAAGTACCATTTTGTAATCAGCAAACCCAGAAGCGACTTTCCTCATTCAAAACGATCCTTAAATATCGTTTTTAATTTTTTCGAATTTTTTCCAAGGGGTACCCCTATAAAATTGTGGGTTTTCTCATTTTTCCCACTTTTGTTCCTTCCGATGGCAATAGCTCTGCCAATTCGAATCCGATCAGGAAATAAAGTACCATTTTGTAATCAGCGAACCCCGAAGCGACTTTCTCCATTCAAAACGTTCCTTAAATATCGTTTTCAATTTTTTCGAATTTTTTCCAAGGGGTACCCTTAAAAAATTGTGGGTTTTCTCATTTTTCCCACTTTTGTTCCTTCCGATGGCAATAGCTCTGCCAATTCGAATCCGATCAGGAAATAAAGTACCATTTTGTAATCAGCAAACCCAGAAGCGACTTTCCTCATTCCAAACGATCCTTAAATATCGTTTTCAATTTTTTCGAATTTTTTCCAAGGGGTACCCCTATAAAATTGTGTGTTTTCTCATTTTTCCCACTTTTGTTCCTTCCGATGGCAATAGCTCTGCCAATTCGTATCCGATCAGGAAATAAAGTACCATTTTGTAATCAGCAAACCCAGAAGCGACTTTCCTCATTCAAAACGATCCTTAAATATCGTTTTCAATTTTTTCGAATTTTTTCCAAGGGGTACCCCTATAAAATTGTGCGTTTTCTCATTTTTCCCACTTTTGTTCCTTCCGATGGCAATAGCTCTGCCAATTCGTATCCGATCAGGAAATAAAGTACCATTTTGTAATCAGCAAACCCAGAAGCGACTTTCCTCATTCAAAACGTTCCTTAAATATCGTTTTCAATTTTTTCGAATTTTTTCCAAGGGGTACCCCTATAAAATTGAGCGTTCTCTCATTTTTCCCACTTTTGTTCCTTCCGGTGGCCATAGCTCTGCCAATTCGTATCCGATCAGGAAATAAAGTACCATTTCGTAATCAGCAAACCCAGAAGCGACTTTCCTCATTCAAAACGTTCCTTTAATATCGTTTTTAATTTTTTCGAATTTTTTCCAAGGGGTATTCCCTAATACCTAGTTTAACTTCAGCTTCGATACATTAATCAATGCGGACTTTGTGTGATACTTTTGAGGAGAACCTTACGTGGGAACTGGGAACAGGGCCTGCACTTGCAACCCTTCAAGTAACAGAAACTTGTAAAACACTAGAAGCTTGTATATTTGGGCGCCGGCCATAATTTTGTCAATAATTTTTGTTTGTTTTGGCCGTAAATGCAGGAGGTTTTATTGGTAGCTCAGCCATTTTCTTTTATTTCGGCGTGTCAATGGCGGGACAGTTGGGGGTCGGAGGTGGAAGCCTGGATATTGATGTACGGGCCGGAGTCATGCAATGCGGCAAATGATAAACAGCAACGCCTTCAATAACGCTCACAATTGGGGTGGAGACTGGGTGGATTCGGGCCAGGTGAGTCAGGTAAGAGATGAGTGAGTGGGGCAAGTGCAGGTATAAATAGACGTCTCAATGAAATTGTATCGGCACATGCGATTGAAAGTTAAGGTCTGACTGCAGACCAGACTTCCACAATTAAAAGTCTTTAAAGGCTCAGCTGCTTCTGTGAGCCACTCTATGAGCTTGGCCATAAACCCCAAGTGTTTAGCCGGAGATAGAAAAACATCTGCTCAATGGCTCACTCAAACAGCTCCACTAAAACCAGCTAGAGGCGGGAGTCAGTCCCACCCGAACCGCTTAGGGAAGCAGTAACTCCGTTTTATAGACAATGACGGTTAGCGAGAATTTTACAGCGCCAGAAGGTACACAAGCACTAACTGGGCCAAGAGCATGCCATAAGTGATAAGAAATCCTCTGCTTTTAGTGTCCGAGGAGCAACGGGCTCATAACAATCTGATGATGGTCGTGGCGACCTTGACCTGGCTGCTGCTCAGCTTCATAAGTAAGACCCCCATCCCTGACTCTAAGCGACGGAGAATCAATTATGTTTCCCAACAGCCCTCCTGATCTACTGCTGCAACTATTGGCAGATCCTGCGGCCGCACTGGCGCCGCCAACGCGAGGAGTTCGAGATGCACCAGCAGAGCACTCTGCTGCGCGTCTCCGTTGACGATTAGCCGGGAAACAAAGGGAACCTTTTGGAGGAGGAGGAACCAGCAGCTGTCGGCGATCAGCCAGGGTCCTGACACTGGCCATATGCCTCGGTGCCAGCAGCTTCCATTTCCATTTTCCATTTCCGCTTCCGCCAAGTTAATTCCACACGACAACAGCCAAACAAAAGCGAAAAAATATCACAAGGAGACTCCATGTGTTGCTGTTTCCCTTTTCTGCTGTTTAGTTTACATTTTTCCTCTCGTTTTCCTCATTTTTCCATTTTCCTTCTTGGCCGAAAATACTTTATTTCCCAGCTGCCAGGCAACCCGCCAACAGGGCTGCCGAAAAGGAAGCCGTCCTGAGATACTTGCGCTTCTTTCTGCCGCTGCTGCTGGGAAAGTGAAAAGCATCTTTTATGCAAATTTTAGCAGGTGGGCGGTGGGCGGTGGGCGCTGGTAGGTGGGCGTCTGCTTCGGGCGTGGCAGGCCGGAGCTGACATGACTTCCGCTCCTTAACTGGCTTAATGTTGCTCAGGCAGGGCGAATAAAAGGAAAGAGTTCCGTCAAAAGGGAATCCCGAAAAATGTGAAAAATTATTTGATTAAAGCTGGCTCAAAGAGAGAAACGTTAAAGGCAATACAGTTAACAGTATCATGCTTTTTTGGCTTAAAGCTTTATGGCTTAAAGGACACACAAGTTCATGCCAAACAAGTTTCTAGCCACATTCATCAGTTTATTAAAGTAACTTCACTCTCTAAGCTGCTTATTTTCCATTTCCGGAGTAGCAAGCCGCAACAATTATCCGAAAAGCTATTTTCGGGCCACACATCATTACCATTCCGGCTTCCTCAACCTTTAAAACTTCTCCAGACCAGAATCGATTGCCAAAGGCCTCCACAAATCCCATGTCGCATAACCAAGGCCGGAGCAGACCTTGCTTGAGTTGACTTCACAATTTTCCGGCGGTGGGGAGGGGTAGACTCTTGATAAAAGTTCTCGCCGGCACCAAATCAAATGCCGATTATCGCCCAGTTAGTTGCACTCACAGAGGAAACCGGGGAATCCGGTGAATCGGGAGTCGTTGCCAGAAATGGCAGCACCAATTGGTGGCCTGGCACCAAATGTGCCCTGTCCCCTGGCGTCCTTATCCTTTGCATTCGCTTGCGACGGGAGTCCTACGACTGTTCACTCATTATCGGCGTGTTTGTTTTATGAAGGTCGTTTCCAACAGCCCGCACAAAAGGATTCGGGCACGCACGCACAGACATCGTATCGTCAGTGTCGTCACCCCATTCCTTAAGGCCTGCTTCATATCCTGGACCCCCTTTTGCTGTATTACCTACCCGGGACTCTCGGGGGGGCTTTTCACAAAGTTCACTGAAAGAAAGGATATTTAGTACTTGCTGTGTCAGTGTGATTTGTCGGAATCAGAGCTGACCTTTTCTAGCCGTGCAGGAGCTTTGTTATCGTCCTGCTTTCGCTTTGCTGCTTCATCTCCTTATGCGTCTTTTCTTCTCAGCTCTTTACCAGCTTTCCCAGCATTCCCAGCTCCTCCCTGGGGTCTGCCTGGCCTATCCTGTTGACACTCTTCGTTATTGTTGACTGGTCCACCTCGGTGATATCCTTGATAAATCTCGGCTTTCGCTTGTCCAAGTAACCAAAAATTTGTCTTGGCTTGAGCGACTGCTAATAGCAAACACACAGGATCAGGAGCCGGAGCAGAGCAGGGGCAGAGCCAGCTCGAGTTCGTCATAATTGCTTATGACGACGAGTCGATGGCAGTCTGTCCAACAGATTTCCCCCTCCACTTCCACTCCAACAGGAGGCTGCGCATTAAATTATTTCCCATTATTGACAGTTTATCAAATTGATTTAACAAACCGCCCAGCAGCAGCTCCACACTCCTCCATCCAGATTTCTGCCCCTTTGGAGGCAAGTTAAGTGTTCGTGATAAATGTTATGGTTGTTTGCTAGCTTCTTTGTCGGCCGCCCACACTCCCATCCCAAGGACTCTCCTGCCTGTCTGTGTAGGTCGGCTGCGTGCGCTTGTGTGGGTGTGTGCCTGTTTCTGTGTGTGCGGAATTTATGTAATGCCCAAAGTTGAAGCATACTTTCGGGCTGTTTGCTTAATGTTTTCGCTCGCAACATTTTTAGTTAACTTTAGTTTGTTTGCTCGGCAAACGCACTCAGACTGGTTAAATGTTTTATTAATTTACACACAAAGCTAAGGAGAAAAGGCTTCTAGAAAGGAACTAAAACTGCCATGAAAATTGGGCAAGGACCTGTACTGATGTGAATTAATTTTCAACGGAATCGAACTGCCGTTTCACCCGCCGAGTAAGCCAGTCATTCAAACCGACAGCAAAGCAGCTTTTAACAAATAGATATAGTCCCCATAATCCGATATACGTTTCCCCTCTGCTCCGGGGACTTGCGAGGAAGTCGTTTGCCATAAAATCTGTGTGCATGTCCTGTGCAGGGGACAACACTGTTGTATTGTCGTCCTTGCCATTGTAATTAAGCCCATGCCAAAATCAAGCGCATATCAAACACGTCCTGCGGCATTTGGTTCCGTCTCGAGTGGCAGAGCCGGGGAAGTGGGTGGCAAGTGTCTCTGGTTCTGGTTTCCTTTGTCTTCCAGCGCAGCCACTGACAATGGCGATTCCTGCCAGGATTGTCACGTCCCTGCTGCTCCCTCAAAAGTACAAAAAGCGAGAAAGCAGCTGCACAAAGGCCCCACCAGTGCTTTCACCTCCTATTCCGGTGATTCAGGGCAATTTGCTTATTTGTTTACCATAACATAACAGCTACACAAATAGTCCTCCCCTCTGCTTGTTCTGGTCACCTAATTGCCAGCCTCTCCGTTTATTATTTATTCACAATACTCGATCTATTTCCACGCCACACCATCAACAAATCTCCGGTTTCTTTGTTGACTTTTGAATAATCCAGTTGTCAAGTCAACGACTGATGCTGGCGCTCGTTTTTCAAAATGTCATTGGCCAAATGGTTAATTAAATATTTACTCCGACAAACTGTAGTAAAATGGTGATTAATTATTTAGGACTTCTGTTTCGGGGCTGGAGTCTAGTTGGCACCCGTTTACCCTGCCGTAGATTTCGCAACTTTGTCAGCTATGCAGCCATTTGTTGCTACTGTCGATGCGAAAACTTTAAAAACTTTTTCCCACTACCACTCACAGTCTCTGCGATTTTTGATTTTCCGACACGCCGACACTTGTTTTTGGCCGAGGTCTAAGTGATTTAGGCCAAAGTTTTCTCCTTTTTTCGCCGGAAATGTAGCGGGAAAAAGTTTTGTTGTTCTGCATAATCGTCTGCCGGAAGTTGATCGAAAAGGGGAACCTAGCCCGGTCTACCTAAGTGCTTTACGAAACAATCAATAAACTCAGTTACTCAGCCAGCTCCTTAGGCCCCAGCTCCAACTCCAGCACCAGGAGTTGTTGGCCAAGTCCTGGTCCATGTTTATGCGCTGCTTATGTTGGGGATTATGTGCCATGTGCACATACGACACATGTATATATGTTGTATGTTTGATCCTGGCTGTGGCAGTGTGTTGTATGTTGGCCACGTGCCTGGGCCTGACACACAGTCCTAGCCCTGTCGAGTCGTAATTTATTTGCATAACATTAACGAGCATGCGGTTGCCATCATCTGAGCCACATGCCAAGCTCCGAACTGGGCCAGCAACTAACTTTAAATAAAATATTTATGCCAACGAATTAGCCGTAAACCGTATTCCGGAGGTCAGAGCTACGGTGTGCAAAGGGAATTAAGCCAAAAAGGTATAAATTGGCTTAAGAAGGGTTGGCTCACCGACTATGCTCGCTGCTTAACTAGTAGAATTGGTAGAAGTGATACTAGTTATCGAGTTTGGTGTTTTTTTTATTGTACTGGCCTGTACTGGCCACCGACCAGACTTATTTTTAGTTTCTCAGCATTGGGGAATTGTTGACAAATCTGACTTTACTTTGATTGATCCAGGACTCTCTACTTCTTCAGCAGGGTGGAGACGAGAGGGGCGGCAGCGTAGGTGGTGACCGGGGCGGAGTAGGCGGAATAGACAGAAGGCGCCACATAGGAGGCGGAGTAGACGGAGGGAGCGGAGTAGACCGAGGGGGCGGCGTAGGCGGAGTAGGCGCGGGGCACAGCCGCGGCGTAGGTGGTCACGGGAGCGGCGGCGGCGTAGGTCAGGGCTGGAGCAGCGGCATAGGTGGTGACGGGAGCCACAACATGAGCCTGGGCGGCGGCGATGAAGAGGGCCAAGCAGACGAGGAACTACAAGGAGGATAAGAAGGATCAAACCTACTCTCACTATCGATGGTCCGCTTCACTCACTTTCATTTTGATTTTGGTTTTTTTGGTAAGAGACGAGTGTTCTCAGAGACTGGTAGTGCGTTGACTGATGCTGTTCTCCGCCCAGACCTCCAGTTTATATACCCGCACCCCAGAACAAGTTCTGTCCAACATGCGGATGTGGAATTGGAAGCTAATCCGAGTGGACCACATCGAATGGATTACCATTGTCCCCCGAATGTTTGTTTATTTTTACACTTTGACAACAAATTAGCAATTGGCCAGCGGAGTGGGGGAGCGAGTAGACGGACCAACCGACAAAGCGACCAACTGACAGTAATGCGAGCTCGGTGTTTGTCTGGACCTTTGGGTCAAGTTGGGTGACAAGCAAAAAGTGCTGGTGGCTCTGGTAGCCGGTAGCAAAAAGCTTCGATAATCGCAGAAACGAAAATCGATCCAAAGAGGAATCATGAAGTAATTACACTCGAGTTGAAAACGCAAGTGGGGCTACCCAATCAGTGTAATCATTTGCGCCCCAAACTGGGTCTTTCAACTGGGCCCTTGGCATTGATATTGAAAATGCTTAAAAATAGAAAAAGGGGGGAAGGCGTATGATAGTTACTAAGAATATTCAATGGATTTTAGGTCTTAAATTCATTGTTTCAGGGATGGTACCCTTAGAAGGACAAACAATCGATTATCCTAATTTTTGGACAATCAAAGCCCTTGTGTTAAGGCTTTTTCAACACTATTGGAAAATTAACTTTTTTCAACACCTGCAGTGAAAAGTCTATTCACAATAAGAGAACCCTAAAGAGTTTTTTTAAAAGAGAAAATAAAGGAAAAAAAACCTTAAAAAACTAAAATGGCCTATAATCAAGCATTGGCCTTTAAAACTGAAATTCTGGAACCGGTAAGCAAGCTTCAAATCGAGCGCTTCCCTTTGCGGCACTGGATAAACCACGCAGTAAGTTTTAGTTCCACAATTTTTGAAACATACATATACATACATATACTAATCGAAAACCCACAATAGCTGAGCTTCTACACGAGCAACCAGTATGAGAACTTCGTGCAGGTCTTGGAGGCGGCCATTTCGCGGTGCATGAAGTCCTCTGCCTCTTATCGAGAAGACCTGGCAAGGGCGTATAACGTCCTAGTGGCTGGCACTACCAGGCAGGCCTATAAGGAGCTTGGCAACCGCCGGGCTCTTCTAATGGCCAAGCTAACGAATCTGTTCCGGGTCATGGAAGGCACCCAGCGGGTCCAAGAACGCACTCTCATGGTGACCAAGGGCTACGCCTTTATGCTGACTGCCATGAGAGCTGCAGAGGCCGACGCTCTATTTGTTAACGTCCTCTGGCAGTCGTCGAGCAACGTCCTGGCCCTGATTGGACGCGGTTGCTTGGCCTACGCGCGGCAGGACTACCTGGCAGCTCTCGGCTTCTTCAAGAGCGTGCTGCTGCACCAGCCGCGCGGACCGGGGGACGTCCGAGTGGGCATAGCACACTGCTTCCTAAAGATGGGCGATGTGGACAGTGCCCGGCGCTGCTTCGAGTTGGCGCTGGCGAAGAACGGCCGCAGCCAGAACGCCTTGCTTGGAATGGCGCTCCTCAAGCTCAACCAGTGCCAGAAGGACACGCACATCGAGGGCATCCACTTGCTGAGCGCCGCCTTCGAGCTGAATCCCCGCCACGCTGCCGTCCTGGGGTTATTGGCTAAGCACTACTACCACGTCGGCGACCACGAGAAGGTCTGGTCACTGGCCGGGAACGCCTACATGCTGACGGACATACCGCAGCTTCAGTCGGAGAACTGCCTCCTCATTGCCAGGAGCTTCCACGCAACCCGGCAGTTCGACAAGGCCAAGTATTTCTACGCGCAGTCAGTAAAGCTGGCCCCCGAGGGCTATGTCCTTTCCCAATTGGGCCTGGCCCAGATGCACCTGAGGCGCGGAGGGCGGAAAGAGGCCAAGGGCTGTCTGGAGACGCTGCTGAAAGTTCTGCCCAAAGAGCACACCGCACTGGTGCTGCTGTCGAAGATCTACTTGGCGGAGAGGGCCGCCGGGCAGGTGGACCAGGCCATTGAGATGCTGGTAAGGGTGGTGGGGAGCCGCCTCGGACGCTGTAACTGCGACTGCTGGCTGACTCTGGCCTTTGGCTACGAGCAAAAAGGACAATGGCTCCGGGCCATCGATGCCTACCAAAAGGCCATGGGCATTTGTAAAAAATCGGGTCGAGAGGTGCCCGTCGAGTGGGTCAACAATCTGGCAGCCACCCAGCAGCTGGCCAAGATGCCCCAGCAAGCCCTCATCACCATTGACGAGGCCTTGGCCAGGAGCGAAGAAAGTACCGGCGAGCACAATCAGACGAACCTGTTGACCTTGCGCTTCAATCGCTGCAGGATTCTGGAGGACCTGCATAGGTGCGACCTGGCCGAAATAGCCTACAAGGTGATACTGGACGAGTACCCCAGCTACTACGATTGCTTCTTGCGCCTCGGCGTGATGGCCCTGCGCCAGAACAAGTTTTCCATTGCCACCGAGTACTTCAAAGACGTCCTCAAAGTGGACAACAACAATCTGCCCGCCAGGTGAGTTCGAAAGGCGAGTAACACCCACACTTTAATTCATTATCCTCTCTGGTTAGATCCTATCTAGGAAATTGCTACCTAAAGCTGGGACTTGCCAGCCAGGCCATGTACAACTTCAAAGTGATGGAAGATTCGTACGGCTTGGTGGCCATGGGTAACATTTGCTTGCACGACCTCAAGAAGTGCCTCGACAATGGGGACAGGTATTACGCCAAGAAACACCAGGAGAAGGCCGTGCAATTATTTAAGAAAGTAAGATCCCTGTTCCATCTTCTGTACTTCCATTCTCTATCTAGCTTCTGTCCTGTTTGTAGGCCATTGAGCGCAACCCCCGGAACATGTGGGCGGCGAACGGAATCGGCGTGGCGTTAAGCTGCCGCGAATTTTCCACCGAAGCTGAGGCCTGTTTCCAACAAATCGTTGAGGCTGGCAAGGAGTGTCCGTCGGCCACCCTGAACTTTGCCCACACGGCCCTAACAAAGGGCCAGTACAAGCAGGCCAGCCAGACCTACAAACAATGTCTGGAGGAGTGCCTGTCCCCCAACTGCGTGGAGATTATAGTGCCTCTGGCCAAGTCCCTGTACATGGATGGCAAGACCCGCGAGGCTAAGATTTGGCTTCTGAAAGCCCGTCACTTGTCGCCAGAAGACCCGGTGGTGATGTTCAACCTTGGCCTGGCCATCAAAAAAGATTCCGAGCGGATCTTCCAGGCTCCTCGACCCGAGATAGCTGAATTGGTGAGAGCCGAGTTGGAACTCAAGGTCTCCTACAGGTTGGTTTGTGCGGAATTCCTAAAAACAAATGCTAACCTTCCTTTTCTAGCTACTTCGATCACCTTTCAACATCCTTGCTTCAAACTGAGGTCTCGCTGAGAGCTGCTGCCAAGCAGGCCAAGAAGTGCGAAAGCTTGCTAGCTAACTTGCCGGATGAGCTGCGCCGCGTGCGCCAGCTAGACGATCTGGAAGAGACCCGCATCAGGTTGCAGACGCAACGCTATCAGGAGCGCCAGGAGCAGCTGGAGCAGCAGCGCTTGCGAGAGGACGAGGAGAAGCGGAAGCTCCGCGAGGAGCAGCTCGCGAAGAGGTTGGAGGTCCTTGAACGCACCAAAAAGATGTTCACAAAAGCAGCTCTAGAAAATAGTGAGACGGAGAAGAAATCCTCAAAGAAGCGTAAGGGACGTGGAAAGAAAAGCCATCGGAATGACCTGGATGACGAGGATCTGGATAAAGACCGCCAAGTGCCCGAGAAAAAGTCACGCAAACGGCACAAGAGCAAGGGCACTAAGTCGTCCAGGAAACGGAAAGAGGTCCATTCCAGTGACAGTGAAGCAGCAAATCAGATCAAGAAGTACAAGAGCACGGAGTTCATCGAAACCTCCAGCGAGGATAGCGACATCGACTTTAAAGGCAACAAGCTACCAAAAATGAAGCTACCAAAAATTTTCCCGGACTCGAACGATGAAAGTGACATGGAAACCGAACAAGCTGTCCAAAAGAATCCCGAGGACCCGTCACATATAGTCAACGAAATCGATCCCAATCCTTCTTATGACGATGGGCCACAGATGGACGCTTACTCCGGCATAGTTAACGAAATGGTAAATCCAGTTTACGATGATGGAACTGAGATGGAGTTGGACGAGGAACTCAACCTGGTAAACGAAAAGAAGCAGCATTTCCAGCCAGGAGCTTCGGTAGAGTTCTTGGTTGCCAATGAGGCACCTGTGCTAATGGATCGTCACACGGAGATCAGCGAAAGCCGTCAGCTAGAAATCAACTTTATGCAAGATCGAGAGAACGGGGAGCTCAATAGCGCGGAAGCCGAGTCCTTGGACATGTTAAACGATTACTTTGATGCCCTGGAGAAGAAGATGGAGGCGCAACCAGAATAGTCCTTTGCGGTTGTTTCATTCGCTGTTAACCTGTTCGTTCAATAACTTGATTAAACGTCAAGTAGCTACTTGTGTGATGAGCACACAAATTCAGAAATTCATTTAATTTTGGTCTCCAGCTAAATGTGTCAGCGGCTCCCGGGGGAGTTGAGGAAGCGTACTGGCCTCCCGGGGCAGCGAGATGGGGCGAGCATGTTCATTTGAATGCCAACTCATGTCGGGAGAGGAGCTGCCTTGGGTGTCCTGCTGGAATTACGCATCTACTTGACTGCCACTTTGTAACTGTCAGGAATCTAACGAACCAAACGAAACCGAACGGGCAGAGCAAACCGAAAGTTAAATATTCGTTAGGCAAACGCGAAAAATGAGCCGTGGGTGGGCGGGACGGCGGCTCATTAATATCAATTTATGAGCTGAGACACGAAATTAGTCTTTGACAAGTTTCGCCGCAGGATGTGGACAAACAAACAAGCACACCACACATGTCCTTTCATACATCCACAGTCGTACGTATGTACATCTGGCACCACTCCACGGCCACTCACACATGTCGTTGCTTTGTTTTCTGTCGGTTTTTAGGTGGTCTGATGGTTCTGGGGTCTGGGGGTCTGGGTGGTCTGGGCTTGCGTTAATTAATTCCAAAAGTGTATTGCGTGTCATGCCAAAAGGACAAATATGCGTACACGAACTCATGTCCTGTGGTGAAATGGGCTTGTTACGGGTGTCTGTATATTCTGTCCGTCTGCTTTGCCCCGCCTGCTCATCGCTCCTCGCTCCTCGTAATTATGAAAAATATTTTGGAATAAATCTGAGGACAATGAGCTAACCACTTACCAGACTGCCGAAACTCACAACATTTTTCGGTAGTTTCCCCATGCATAAAGTGTTTGTGAGTTGCTGAATACTTTTACCCCAGTTTAAATGTTTAAAAACTCATGAATTTATACACATTTTCTTCTTTATTTTTGTCGCTTGTTTCTGCTCCATAGCAAGATTAACTTTTCTTTACATCGAGAGGGGACTAACTAAAGTAGTGGTGTTCGCACCCAAAATAAATACTCTCCTCGCTTACAAAACAAGGGTTAATCCAGAAAATATATACTTTTCATAATCGTAGTTCCTTAGCTGCTAGTCTAAACCAAAATTAAGTTTTCCGTTTTGTTTCTTTTTTTTAATAATTTATAATTCGAGTCACAATTTAATTTGATTTTGTCATTGAAGAAGCACTTTGCATGTTGGGTTGCTGGTGGTGGTGGGCGGGATTGAAATCTGTTAGTATGGGAAAATTCTTAGAGCCATAAAGTTGAACTGGAAAATTGTTTCTTTGGGCAGTTGGTGGCAGAGACACGTTGAACTTTGGCGTCTCATGTCATGGTTACATACAGATATATTCGTAATATATAGACTTGATAAAGATTCGACAACAGATACTTATAAAATTTCGTTTCACATTTAACAAAATATGATTGATGCATACAGTACAGTACATATACAGTATATTCATTTCATGACACATCATATGGTGTGGTATCGTATCGTACTCGTTTATATAATATATATGTATATAGTTTGCGCCTATTTCGGATCTTTTGCAGGTTGCTGCTGCTGTCGAGTTGTGCTATATGTTTATGTCGATATAGAGATATGCCATTAAATTCTGTTATTTATCATATACACACATCATATATATATATGATCAGGGGGATAGTCTTTTCGTAGATTCGCAATGTGACTAACTAAGTTCAATTCAGTTTAAGCTACTTTAGTGGCTAATCGTAAACTAGATTAAGTATTAGCTGACCTGATCCTAAAGTAAGTTACATATATACACATCTATGGCTTAGGCCTAGCTAGTTCGATTTCACTAATCTCTTAGCTTCAAGATTCAACTAGTTTTCTGTTAGATTTATTCTCTGTTAATTCTGTAATTTCACAAGCATAGCTCTTTGTTTTCACTGAAGTATTCCATTTTATGTTGCGCACAAAGATATCATAATTAGATTCTAGATAAATGCTTCTCGTTTTGTGGTTTAGTCGGGTTCGAAAACAGTGCTATATTATCCATAAAGGTAGACTATAACTATAATCGATTCTTAATACACCTTCTTCAGCTGCCTGCTAAGTTTGCTTTGTTTTGTGTGGAAGTCTTATCGAGTTTTTGCGGCAGCTTAACTACATTACTATAATACAGATTTTGGGATTACCTCTGCGATACTTTCCGATCGCATCAAACACCTTCTTAGACAATGGTGGTGCGCTCGGCGCCCAGAGTGGTGGTGGTGCACGTACTGCTCCCCCCAATACACACGATCTGACACTTGATGTCCTCTTTGGCTAACTCTCAGGAGCTCACCGTCTCGTAGTTCCCGCCACCACCGCTCAGGAGCAGGGGCGACTGCACTCCGGCACCGCCGGCACCCAAGGTGGTGCTGTAGGTAGCCGTCTGGGAGCGTGGCGAGGTGAGCAGCGACTGGGCGGCTCCGATGGTGATGTTTCCGCTGGTCACCGAGCTTGTTAGGGCGGCCGAGATTCCGCCCACATGCAGGGTGCTGCCCGGGTGTGGAAGTGTGTTGCAGGCGCCCACCAAGCCCCCTCCTACGCCCAGTCCGCTGCCATTGGTCTGCAGCGATCCGTTCGACTGACCGCCCAGCAGGGGCATCGTGCAGGTGGTGGTGGATCCATAGGGGGATGTGGGCGAGGTCCTGGTCTCATAAGCGGGCAAATGGTAGCCACTCGGCCCACCTCCAACTGAGGCACCAGGTCCACCGCTACCTCCTCGACCCGGAATACGGGTATAGATGTTGGGGGGAGTCCTTGTGGATAGCAAGGGCGGTGGGGCAGTGTAAATGGGGCGCTGAACGGCCGGGGCACGCTGGGGCGTATTGTACAAGCTGAAGGCGGGGTTCGTGGTTAGGGATAGTTCACCGTACTGCAATAAAACAAAAAAAAAATTGTGATTAAAATGGTGCTTTTTCATTTCCAATCAAAATTAAGATTGAAGTTAGGTTAAATTAGTCAGCAAACACTCTACTTCAAGTTTGATGTAATTTTCTCTTTTATTTTTGACAAAATAATTTCAACCTTTTTGACGGAATGCTGACGAAAACATTTTCTAATCGAAAAGTTTTTCCACTGACCCGTACAAACACCAGGAACTTCTAATGAGCTTGTTAGGAACTCTGTCAACTGGGTGGGACACAAAACAGACCAGCAAAAATTTACTAAAAGTCCAACTAAACAAAAAGCTAAACATCAACTCTATTCGGAGATGACGAAAACAAAAGCATTGGGCCATCAAATTTTGATGCCACAGGAACAAAAAAAACTAGCCAACCAATGAGAACATTTTAAACAACGCTGATTTAGTTTTGGTTGGTTAGACAAGCACTTGATGGGATTCAGGCGAAATAAATTTAAAAAATTCTTTATTTTGGCTAATTAAACAGACTAAAAGTTAGTTATATTGTTTGTTCTATACGCCCAGTGGCGGATTTAACAGGTCGGCAAAGGCGCGCTTGCCCACTGGGCCTCCCCGACGAAAGGCTTTCAGGGCCCCTCGTGGTGAAAGTTACACCTTCGATTTCTTTTCCATAAATCTGCATCAAAATCTGGGAACAAAATATTTTTTAGATTTTTTGTCAATTTTTCTGGGCTGTCCCCTTCAAAATGTGCCGAATGCATGGGGAGCCCCATATGACCCACTGCGAAGGCCATATCTTAGGAAATATTCATCCGATTCTTGAACGGAATACCTTAAACGATTTGTGGATCGATTCTCCATAAATCTGCATCAAAATCTGGGAACAAAATATTTTTAAGATTTTTTGTCAAATTTTCTGGGCTGTCTCAAAATGTGTAAAATGCGTGGGGAGCCCCGTATGACCCACTGCGTAGGCCATATCTTAGGAAATATTCATCCGATTCTTAAACGGAATACCTTAAACGATTTTTGGATCGATTCTCCATAAATCTGCATCAAAATCTGGGAACAAAATATTTTTAAGATTTTTTGTCAAATTTTCTGGGCTGTCCCCTTCAAAATGTGTAAAATGCATGGGGAGCCCCGTATGACCCACTGCGAAGGCCATATCTTAGGAAATATTCATCCGATTCTTGAACGGAATACCTTAAACGACTTGTGGATCGATTCTCCATAAATCTGCATCAAAATCTGGGAACAAAATATTTTTAAGATTTTTTGTCAAATTTTTTGGGCTGTACCCTTCAAAATACCCTTCAATGTACCCTGAAAAATTTTGCCCACCTGGGCCTTTTTCCTTAAATCCGCCACTGTATACGCCGTACTTTATAGTTGGTACGTTGTCAGGTTTACGGAATGAGGTTTACGCCATAGCCAAACAATTACTGTCGGGTTATTGACGGAGATCGATGGGGAATTGTTATAGAAATCTTTTGAGATATTCCAGGGAAGAATCAAATGGCATTTGGCTGAAAGTCCTTGGTATGCTTCCCCATAAAAACAATAATCGGATGTAAATATATAGCCCCTAACTAAAATGGAATCCCCAAAAGTATGCCACAATTTTTTCAATTTGTAAGGCAAAGATATGGGACTAGGAAGAATGGGACTTTAAAAATCGAGCATTAGAATAGTAGACTCACCTGTTTTCCAAACGTAGGAGACAGCGAGGGCGGCGGCGGGGAAGCGGTGCTAATACGTGTGGGTGGTGTGTACAAAATCCTTTGGGATTCCATATTCAATCTGTCGAAGGCCTTCTCCTCTTGGTGGAACTCGTCCTCGCTGTTGGCCTCCTGCGGCACCACATCCGGGTTTTTGTCCTCTAGGCTCGAGTGGCTGCCCATATTGCGGGACAAGGGCTCCGCGCTTCCCTTGTCAGCCTCCGTGGTGGTGGCATCGCCGCCATTTCCGTGCCTTCGTCCGCCGCGTTTACTCCGGAACTTGATAACGATCACTACGCAGATAGCCACCAGGATAAGAGTGACCATGACGCCGAGCAGGGCGCCCAGCAGTGGAGTTAGCTGCACCAGAACTGCCGTGGAGGAAGCTGAAGGAAGACGGAAAATGAAATAAGGGGAAAGGTCAAAAGTCGCCTCACTAGAAAATGGAACTAAATGGCAAAGAATGTACCTAACCTATGCTATAATTTAAACCAATAACATTATATCCTCCGCAAGACACTCACCTGTTCGCAGAAGAGGAGCTGACAGGGTGCGGCCCCTCAGCCTGTAGGCCACCTTGCTGGGTCCCTGGGCATTCACCGCCGTTATCCGGATGACAAACACCGAGTCGCTGGGCAGACGCTTCACCGTAAACTCTGGGTACTTGTACGAGGCGTTGTACAGGATTTGGCGGTTCAGCTCGTCGTAGATTTGGGCATGAAAGTGCTGAGGAATTCCACCATCGTAGCCAGGGATGCACTGGATCTGCAGTGAGTTGGCTGTGGCATTAAAGGCCGTGCAGTTTTTCACAGGTTCGGGAAGATCTGGAGGAAAGGATATACATAGTTTAAATATTAGTAAGGAGCTCTCCAAGCTCGAACATGGAGGGTAGGGTCTCATGCGTAAATAAATAAATGATGTAGCCTGGAAATTTATTGCATTTGATTATCAGATTATCGGTCGGCACACAGATTGCTGCAGCAGTAGTTGCAACAGTGGCAGCCACATCAGGAGAGCAAACATGCAGATGGCGTTGGTAAACATGGCTTTTATTGCCGTCAGGGACAACCGGACGGACAACCACTGGCTCCTGCTGTCTTTGGTCGGCCACCCTCCCGTGAAACGCCCCTGACAAGCGTTAAATTGCCGCATGCCGGGGCAGCTTCGCACCGAGCTTGGCCAAATGTAAATAACGAGCAGAGATTCGCCCGCCGGTGCGTGTTGCATGCCACAATTATCTACTGACCAGCTCTGGCCAGAGGCAGCCAGAATCGAATAAACACGACTGTTGTTTTCGTTGTTCTCGATGTGAAATGAATTAAATTTTACACTTTTTCCCCAACGGGCTTAACAACTTGCCGTGGGCTTTGCCGGGAGGTCATGAAATCACTTAATCCTTTGGCTTAAATTGTAAATATTCCCCAAAAAAAAGTGCAACTTTGCCAGCTGTTAAATAAATTAAGAGTTTTTAAAAGTCTAACGACTCTTGAACACCGCCAAGCCCCCAAAAGGGTATTTTAGTTTTCTGATTTTCCTGAACTTTTCCCTGGCCACCATTTTTATCTCTCCTTGGACACACCCGAGTGAACTCACCTGCCGGCTGGATGTGGTACCAGCAGGGCTGGCTGTGGCCCATCGGACTGCTGGCCACGCAGGAAATCGCACCGAAGCTCTCGTAGCTCTCCACGTGGTAGCTGTAGACGTTGTTCAGCGGCGGTGCGGACGTGGTTGTGGGGGGCGTGGCCATGGCCTGGCGGTGGTGCTGCTGCTTGTGCAGAGCTGCCAGCCTCTTGCGCTCGGACAGCTGTAGCCCTCCGCCGCCCGATGGCGAGTGATGGGCCTCTCCGACGCCAGATCCGCCGGACTGCATCTGTTGTTGCTGGGGCTTCCGCTGCTGCTGCTTGTTGTTCTCCACGTGATTCTTGTGCACCATGTTGGAGTAGACCATCTGGGCGTGGGGATGGTGAGAGGGCTGCTCCTCGCCGTACTCCTCCTCGAAGTCCTCGTACTCGTCCTCGTCCTCGAACCTTATAGCCGCCATGCGTCCGTGGCGGCCGTGAAGGAGTCTCGGCTGCATTCCGGCGTGCGCGTGCTTCCGCTTCTGGCGCTGATAATATCCGCCCAGGTCCGCGACCAGGGAGGCGGATCCGGGCGAATGCGGCAGCTCCGTGAGGCTCTCCAGCGAGTTGTTGAAGTGCCACTTGTAATTTAGATTATCGAGTGGGTTCGCGTCCACCTCGCAGGTGATGTTGATTGTCTGCTTGAGTGCGGCACGTATAATCGTAGAGTCTGACTTGCAAACGGGAGGATCTAAGGCACAGAGAGAGAAATGATACACGATAGTAATACTATGTTCTAATAAGTACTAATGTTAGATGTTCTAATATTTTTTATAATTTATATGGAATTTTCTTTAGCAGGGTCAAAGTGGAAAGGATAGTTGAAACTTACACTTCACGTCCAAGTAGACCTCGTTGCTGGACACGCTTCCCTGCAGGTTACTGGCCCTACAGAAGTACTGGCCGTGCGAGGACTTGGAGATTCCCTGCAGGACGAGGGTCTGGTTTGAAATGATGATGCCGCGCGAGGAATGCAATTGCTTGTCCTGAAGGAGTAAACAACGTTAAGCACATATTGGTTAATTAGTGGTTATTGTTTATTGATTTTCCAAATAAAAACTTAGCTAAGGCAATTAAAGAAAACTTACACTGTGATACCACTCCACTCGGGTGATGGCAGGGTTGGCCTTCACATCGCACTCCAGATAGACGTCAGAACCCTTGAGGAGATTATTGGGATCAAGGGGAGCGCCCAAGTTCAGGTTCACAATGGGTGCATCTGAAATAGATTTGGTCTGTCCATTATTCGCCCCAAAGTTCCAGCTTTCGAGCAACTTACGAGTCACGTTCAGCACTCTGGAGTCCTTGAGATACAATCCTGTGTTTCCATTGCCCAAGGTGGTCATTACCGTGGTGTGACCTTCCTGTAGCTGCTGGGAAGTGATCCCCGAGTTCAGGGATATAGAGCACACCACCTGTCGTTCGTTATCCTCTGGCACAGGAATCAGCATCAGTTCGGACATCGTTGTATTGCCATCAACGGAGGTCTGAGGTGGTTTTGGGGAAAACTGTAGATATCAAAGCCTTTGGAAAGTGTTTTCAAGACTTACAGATGTGGTGGCACCTCTGAGGATCTGTCCTGCCTTGGACCAGATAATTTCGGGAGGTGGCCGTGCTCCAATCGCCGTGCAGGTCACATGAGTCCTGGTCCCAGCTACTACGGCGTGGTTCAGTCCTTGAAGCAGCAGGCTGAGTGGAGGCACTGTGGAAGCACAAAATTCAACTTTTGTGAAAACTCTTGTTTGAATATTTAATGGACACTACATTTATCCATATCTCTAGATCCGTTCCATTCAACTGCACCCATTATGGCCTATCGTGGCATCTGATTAACATTACGATACTCCTTTATTACCCAACAAGGACACCGCGCGAATTCCGCTTCGCAAGGATGCCGCTTAATTTCCTGCACATCTATAACCAACCTTTATGGAAATGTTCATTATTTATGTCACATTTTATTATGCCCATCACTGGCCCACAACGCCCACCCACCCGGACTCTACCCGGGGGACCCGCAAACCCGATTAGCCTGGAACCAAGCCACCCAACCACCCGCATAACCATAAATGCATGGATGAGGATGAATATGCGAGTGGTCGTGTGTCCTTGCGGTGGAATGACAAAACTTTAATTACATTAATTTCCATGAAAACGTCACGCCCACGAAGTAGAACAAAAACAATAACCCTGTGCTATCCATTGGCCGGCCAAAACCGACCTTGAACATGTTCGTCCTACACTAAAATATTTTTGCATTATGCTAAGCGATGGTTGGGGAGGACGTTTTGGGCAGTTACTTACGATTCATGTCGAGGATAACCTTCTTGGTCAGCGCCGGAACCACGTGGCCGTTGGTCGCCTGGCAGGTGTACATCTGGAATACGAGAAGAGATGGGGAGAAATTCATGAAATTCGATGATTTATGCTCATTACGATAATTGCCCCTTAACTAATAACATCAACAATGTTCAATAAATAAGGGGAGCACTGGCAGGAGCCAGGCACGATGATAAATCATCAATATTTAATTTTAATTGCTTCTATTGCGAAAAAGCGAGGGAGTGGCAGCTACTGGGATACAATAACCGAGCTTCTGGGTCTTGTCCTTGTTTATTAACAATTTCAGGACAATTTGCGAAGGAATAACATCATATAAGATGCACAAAACTCGTCAAGAAATGTTTAATTTTAAAGCAGAACCATCTCACAATTATTTCACCTTTGGAGCTCAAAGGGCTTCCAGCTGCTGCACTTTACATGTCAATATATTAAACTTGATATCCACTTTCTTGTGGGTAACCCGATACTCCTTGAGCCTTGGGCCGTCCGTCTGGCAATAAAAATATTTGCATAACTTTTGGGTTCGCCGCACAGCAAGTCTCGTCTCTTTTTGGAGAATTAGGTCATAAATTTCTATTCCATTGCACAACAATATCTAGCGTTATTGAAAGATACTGTGGGGTCACAGGCCGGCACTGTTGCTCCACGGGATTGTGTCACACTGGGTCACTGAAACTGAGACGTGTTCATTGTGCCACAAAAGGGTTCAAGAAACTTTTCAGTTCAAGTCTTGAGAGTAATTTTCAATGGCAATAAAATGGAATGAGTATTTCACCGCATTAAAGATTAAGCTCCAGAAATCACCGAAAACATTGTGCTTACTTTAATCTCGGTCTAAGCTAATAACTTGTGGTATAACATGAACACCGTTGAAACGACTCCACTCGAGCCATTCATCCAGCCAACAGCCGCCAGACTCGAGGCCAACAAAAGACCTGACCGGCTCACAATTGTTGTGGCCTCAGGGGGACTGTAGGGGACAGGCCTCGGGACGGAAACCGTCAGATCTGAATGGCGGGATTAGCGGCGCAACAATAATGTTCATTACATGGACAAAAAAATCCGCTTAGAACCCCAAGCAAGAGAGCAACGCGGAGGAGGTTATTCCCCCGGGAGATAGGGGTTCTATTATTTGAGTTTCTCAGGGGATTCTCTGGGGCACCAAGCCACCCAGGAACGATTCCCAATGCAGGTTGCATTTGATTTCTATTAGCCATTGTGCTAGAACGGCTTGCCACCCAGGGCGAGCCATTAACGGAGGCCCTTTTGTGGTCAAAAATAAATGGCTAACAGGGCTATCAGGGAGGTGCTACTTGAGTCATAAATAAGGATTACAGTACAGAAGGAGCATTGTCTCTGACTTACCGTTAGCAGGTCCTTGCGCTGTATGTTCTTCAGTCGCAGGACATTGCGCACTGAGCCGTCGGGCAGCACCTGGAAGGAGTCGTCGATCAGGGCGTGCTCCCGCCACCAGGAGACCCGTGGCGGAGGTACTCCTCCGCTCGACAGGCAGGTGAGGTCGATGCTGTCGCCCTCCAAGTAAGGTCCAGCCGTTTGGTCGCGAATCTCAGCGCCATGATGGTCCAGAATGGTCAGCTGAGTGGGCGGAACTGCAGAAGACAATGGAGGAAGGTAATCAGGAAGCAGTTATAACTATCTAATAGGTGGAACCTACCCAGGACAGTCACGTTGATGCGCCAGTTTCGCGTGGGGGAGCTCTGGAAGTCCACCCGGCACTTGTAGAGGCCGGCGTCCGAGGTCTGGATGTTCTTGATCCGCAGGGCAGGTGGATTGGTGTCATAGTGGAAATGGGCCTTCTTGTTGAAGACGCTCTCGTCCGCCCAGGGTATGGCCTTGTGCAAAGGGCGCCCGCGGGCGTCAAAGCTGAAACGATTCATGAAATAAAGCAATTGATGGAGGGAATGCCAGCATTTGCATATGGAGTTGGGGCAAGGAGGGCGGAAGGCAAACATTAACCCCGAAAAGGGCGTCATAAGTACAACCTTTTAACCTCTGTCCCTACCTCTAATGGAACATAAAACACCGCAATAAAAGGCAGACATTTTGACACGTTCCCCAATAGTCGCACACCTTCAATTACGCGTTGCCGATAAGCCACAAACTGCGCTGGCCCGGTTCATTGATTTTATTGTCCAAACAATTGAGACAACATCGGCGGCCAGGCCAGTGGAATGTGTGCCAGATCCAGGGAATCGACTAAAATCGGAATACTTAATTAGCTTTCCCTTAGGGTCGGTCGGTCGGTCAAGCTATTTTCAGGCACTCCGAGCTGGGATATAGAAACAGAAATAAATAGTGCCAGTGGGGGGAGTGCAGTGCCTGAATGGTCGGGGGAGAACTCTGTTTTTATTGTTATTGCCAAACGCTTTTGTTTTATGGCTTTGTCCGATGCATTTTGACAAAGTGCCGCATTAAATGTCAACAGAGCCTTTGGGCTCTAGTTATCTGGGCTGCCAGTGCTTTATCGTAAAATGCATTTACAGAACTCTTGATTTCCATTTGCTTTCGCTTTTTATGTCCGCGTTTTTTAGGATTTTAAATGGTCGCATTTAAATTGGTTTCAGTCGCTTTGCGTATTTTAATTTGATTTTTCATTATGTTCTTTTTTTTCCGGAGCACTTCGTTTGACCTTTTTTTTCTGGTATGCCGGCAGGAGGGGCTGGCTGGGGCGTAAGCCCTGCAAAAACACGGAACAAATTTCTGCTGCTTATGTTAATGCGATGGAACCAGCCCGCAAGCCCGCCCTTCCTCATCCACTTTATAGTTCACTTCAATTAATTAATTGATCAATTTAGCCCTGTTGTGTATATTCTTGCGGCTTAAGCGGATTCCCATTTATTATTGCATTTCCCTGTTTTCCAAAGGAATTAAAGATATTTTTTTAGGCCGATGCTGTGGCATTTTTAAGTAGCTTTAAAGAGGCCACAGGGCGATAAAAAGCACATGGTGGCAGTTTATGTTTCAGCATCCAGTTGATCTCGTTTCGGAAACTAAAATTAGCACAAGGCTTTATGTTCCTGGGAAGGAGTATGAGTAAAAAATACTTTCCTTAGATCTCCCATCCAAATGGCAATAATTCTCTGGAGAATAATCATCGCCTTGGCGCTGGATTATTCCACATTCTAAACAGATCATGGCACTCGTTCTACTCTCCAATGATTTATCACTCGGGCTAGACCCACAATTGGGGAAACGCACTCGAAAACTAGAAAGCCTGGCCCGCCAGAACAGGAGTAAGTGGCACAAGATGGATGGGATATTTGTTAATGGATTTTAAACATAATTAAATTATGTTGGAAAAGAGGCTCGTGAACGGGAGGGTTATCTCCACGGGTTATCCATGGAAATTGGAAAACAAATTCCCATGCAATTAATCTCTCGACCTTTGCCAGCTTTTTGGCCACATCGGAGCTTCTAGCCCGCCTAGCCCGCCAAGAACCGTAGAACTTATAAAGTGTGGGAAAAGGAAATTAAAATTGATGGAAAACAATCAAGCGATGCGGGCGGGCGAAGCCGGCCAACAGATATCTGCATGGACTTGAGGTTTTATGTGGTCATAAAAAGTACTCCCAGCCACTCGACCAGAAAATGGTAATTGCAATCGAGGCCAGAGAGTGCAGGGAGCAGCACATTCCTGACACTTTGATTTGACATTATCGAGGGCACGGCGAATCGAGAGTTTTCGGGAAAATAAAATTCAATTTCTGGTCTACTGCGCGGCTGTCTACTCGAGACTCCACTCGACTTCACCTGGCAGGTCTTCCCACATCAGTGCCCGTTTCCTTAGCTTTCTGCCAGACTTTTCCGGGAAAAGTGGCAAAGTAAAGGAAAAGAGAGAGAGAGACCTGGCATCCAGGGACCTTTGAACCGAATTGCTGCCGCCAATCATTCAGTCTATATGGGAATAAGTATACATTATATGCCGTAGAAGATGCCCCGCAGATGCCATCACTTGTGACACTTCCTGGCTGGGCCTCCTACTTGGTCCTGATGAGCTCGTTAAAAAATTGTTCAGCTATCGAGCCTGCGAGAAGAAATTTTTTGAGAAATAGGTGGTGACAGGGGGCAGAGGCATAAGCCTAGTACCTTAACCCCTCCCCGAGACTGGCACGTAGGTTCTTCCCTGTAAGTAATGTTTATATCGTCAAATTCAACATAAATGCCTCACGTTAATAGAATTTATAATGAGCCTGCGCCTACTTTTGGGGCGCCAACGTGTGCGATTGCGAGTGCGTGTGCCCCGCCCTCCTGGAGCTCAACACTGGGAGCTTCTTTATAATTGGCTGCCATTCCCAGCGGAATCGAAATCAAATTCATTTAGGGTCTCTGGCTAATGCCAAAAAGTATTACTTCAACGGGATGCTAACGGTGGGTGAAAAAAGGAGAATTATTAAGTGAAATTCATTTATGCGACACTTTGCGGGGCGTTCTTGCGAAGCGATCTCAGGGGGAGTCAGAGTCTAAGGACGCATTCTGAATATGCTAATCCCTAATGGATGACATGGCTTAGTAGGTGGAAGGAGGTTTGAGCCAGAAAGCCTTTAAGGCAAGCTATACTTACGTGTAAATGGGCTTCGTATTGCCTTGACGATACCAGATGACTATCTGCACCTTGTCCTCGATCATGGTTCCGGGCACCAGATCGCAGGGCAGGGCCACCTCCGAGCCCACGGCGGTCAAAACCTCAGAAAGGGGTCCTGGAAAAATAAAAAATATTTGGATTAGTAAGTGCTTTCCATTATAATGATAACCCATTCTAGACTAAGTCATATGACTGCCTGCGGCTGGCATTTGGAGCTATTGAATTCGGACTTTGTGGCCTCCGGGCTTAATTGAAATACGTGAACTCTGACCTGGCCCTATCGCCCCATCTCGCTCCGCCTTTGTGTGCCAGCCATAACTATAAATTGACTGACAGTTTGATTTCCCTTTGAAGATAAGACCCGCTCGCTGAAAGGGTTCCAAGTGCCCGAAGAGCGCCGCTTCCATTGTGCGGATTCCGACATGGAGCCGTCAGCGGCGCAGCGAGTGGCGCCTCCTCAGTCGCGTTTTCGTTAAGTTCGGTTAAGCTGAGTTCAGCCACAACACTGTGCGTGCCACAGCCCAGAGGGGGGTGCCGCGCCCGGCCGGGAGTCGTACTGTGAGGAAGGTGACAGGGGCTTCAATTAGACGTCGACCTTTTTGGCGATGAGGGCATGAGACCTTCCCGATCTCATACCTTCCAGTACTAGCAGAGCACTGCTCTCTTTTGATTCGAAAACTATGTATATAGATATCCCCCATTCATGGGTGGGTGGTGTCTATACCCACCAGTATTTTCGACCCCCCGCAAGTAGCTCTGTGAAAAGACATTGTAATTATACAAATTATATTTTCCATATTTTGTATTGCAACACCAATAGCAACAGAAACCAAAATAAAAAAAAAAAACCAGTAAGGGCGTGTCGTACGTGTCTAAATGCGAAGCTCCCCAGAACTGGGCAGAGGCCCTAAAAATGGGAAACCAATGAACGTTGAATGGCTTTCCAAATATTAATCAATATTTATCTAGATTAGCTGTGTATGCCGCCCTCCCGTTGCTACAACAACGATGCCACTTCCTGTTTACTCCGCCTGGAATTCAATTATTTTAATGTGTTCTTATTACCCGATTAATGGGCATTTTATAATGATTGAAGAGTGAGTTTTATTCAAGGCATATGCAAAAACGACAGCTGTTGCTGTTTATGGGGAGGGGCAGAAATCAATGACTTTTAAATCAATTAGTACAAGTTCTAAATGAAAAGTATGTAATTGGCTTGTAATGGAAACAAAAACTAATTAATAAACAAGATAGGCAATAAGTTGTCCTAATTAGTTCTTTGTTTGGAATAGTTTCCCAATCCAAATAGTTCCGAAAAATCATTACCCATCACTCCACTCACTTCGCGCCAGAGTTCGATTCTGGATTCCGGCATTCTGGCGTTGTGGCGCTTCCGGATTTCCGAGCCATAAGTAACATTTGCCATTAGGCAATCGAATCCTCTCCGATATGCATAAACACACTCCAATAAATTAGGGGCCCATCGCCGAGTGGAGGCGGGCGAGGCGCCACAAAAATAAAATAAAATTCAAGCAATTGGTAATCGGATGAGTGATATAATTCATTGAGGCCAAATGCAATTTGTTATGGCCAGAGCAGTGGAAATGGAATGCCTATTTGGGTCAGCAGATCAAAGCGATTAGGCGAAGAGCGCAATGAGTTACAGATACGGCCGGAGTGCGATTGCTAATTGCAGTTCGTCCAACAAATGTTCACGCAGTTCGGCATTCAAATGGGTTTTTGGCCTTTTGCAATTGGCCTTTCCCAGCCGGAAGCTGATGCTCCGGAGTACAATGGAGATTTATTGTCACACGATCTGAAGTTGATGGAATGATCGCCCGGCTCGTGTGACAAGCGGACATCGGACAGAAGTGGCTTTCAGTGTTCCCGCCTCTCCTCCGCAGGCTCTATTTATATTTTTATTTTGACAAATTTTGTCGGATCTGTTGGATCTGAGTGTCGGACATTTGGCGGCTAATGGTGCGTGCTACAAATTTCCCGCATCGTGTAGCTATAATTAAGCGGATCGCTACGAATTGAGCCGCAGCCGCGAGGCAAGATGTGCCTCGTCTCGACTCGACGCTGTTGTCGCCCCATAATTGTGCCACTTTAAGTGGGCGTCAACATGATACGGCCAAGTTGTTTCGGCCTCATGTACATTCTGGCCATGATGGAGATCGTTACACCAAAGAACTAATTCCGATGGGGGCCTAGGAGCCCATTCAAGTTCGAGGAATATGGAATTATGTGTCATATTCAATGTTTGTTATGCGTCCGTCCATGTTTCGGAGTTCTTGGAACGTGGCTATAAAATATTCAAACCCCTTTCCCATATTTCATATCAGTTCACAGTTCAGGCTCCAGGAACACAATTTATAGTCGCATGGGGATTTCACAGGCTTATTTTAGATTCTTTTCAGAGTTTTTCAGCGAAATAAGAGCACTGAGAGCTTGCCATGAATGGGAATTTATTTTAATACACATTTTATAATAAACAGCGAAAAAAACACCACTGGCAGGCAAATGGCCTAATGGAAGCATTGAATTTCCATTTGAGGAAATGCATTTATTCTCGTTAGACTCTTTGTTGAAATGCATTACCCGGGGCGGCAGGCCCAGTCGCTAAGCTCATTTAGAACTCAACTCTGGGAAAACAAACAAAAAGCTTGGCTAAGTGCCCAACAATTATCCAGTCAATCAGTCATTTATCCCGATCCTCGGTCCAGCCTTCCCGGTTATTTGTTTATTTATTTGTTTTGCCTGCAACTGTGAAAATATTTTGACAATCGCCTCTGGCTAGAAGTGATCTGGCCCCAGTCGATGAGGTAATTATTCAGATCATTTGTATTGCCCAACGCCGCGGGGCCTCTTCGCTGGTACGGAAGAAAGAAAGCCCTTTGAAAGAAAGCAGTGTGAGATCGATGGAGCTTTTCTGCTTTCTTGGCGCCAACAATTGAATAACTAAGGGCAGGGGCCAGAGCCAGTGGCAGCGAGAAGAATAACAAATAGAAGAAACCATACAGCAGTACGGCAGGAAATAAATCAAATTAGAAATGTTTATAATGCTTTTTCCATCCATTTTTCAGAGGAGGAGTGGTGGCGGAGAAACATCCAAAAATGGAATTGCTGGCTGAAAGCCGATTCCTCAATCATCTCCCACCTGAACGGCGATTCGACAAACAATTGCCATTGCTGACGACAAATTGCCAATGACTCTGAACGACGCCATCAACATCAACATCAGCAACATGCACGGCATGGCACAGCACAGTACAGCCCAGCAACAACATCAACAGCGATTGTCGTAAAATGTTTCTTTGATTTTTATTCCTCAGCTGCCTCGGCTGCCTCTGCTCTCTGTCTCGGATCCCTTTATTTCTATATTTTCAAATAACAGCGGCAACAAAGTGGGCTCCCTGACAATCTGCACGTGACCAATGACAATCGGCGAGCTGCTGTCCATTTATGACCTCCCGGAGTCAACAAGTTTGGTCGCCGTCGCTGGTTCGGGCTTTAATATTTCCTGCAGGCGGCAGCACTTGTCGAGCTTGAGGCGCCTCCATCCAAAAGTCGTAGGCGGAAGTTGAAACTGCCGAGGGGCTACTACCCCGTAGCTACTGGCACTGGCCATAATGCCAATAATTCGATTGCCGATTGCCTTTGGTCGTCCAAAGTGGCCAAGGCAAACTCACCTAAATTAGGTCCGAAATTAGCCAGAACTCGGGCCTCAATTTTCCTTTCGGAGAACCCCTCTAATAAAGTTCTTTTGTTACTTCTGCTCCACGGGAAGTTGTAAAATATGGAAAATACTCGATAGCCTTCAGTTCTTCTACCCGCCAGCCGATAAGCTTCGAGTTATTTTATTTGATTTTCATTAGATTGACTTTTGGGTTCGGGCCTGGCCAATTATTGTTATGCAGGGAGTCTCTCTGGGGGGCTTCCCTCCTGGGAGGGGCCAAAAGTACTAACGAAATTGACTTTTTGGGCAAGTGCTTTGAGAGCTTGAGAGGGTCAAGGTCTGTTAGTGAGGCTGTTAAAGACGGCCTACTCGGAGGAATTCTTTCAAAATTCTTCACTCCTACACACCTGGTGTTCTGGCGTCAGCCTTTCCAGGAACTTCCTTAAATAGCGTGTCTGACCCACATCATCCGGGCATCGGCCCAGTGCCTGAGCAGGCCCGACCCTGCAGGTAATGCCCCGAATTAATATTTATTCAACCCCACCGCCTCCACTGCTGATATATTTGTTACTTTCCGTCGCTCGACGCTCGACTGGCCCGGGAATCTCAAGTCCAATGCATTCGCGGCCGTCAGACTAATTTTATGATGGATTACTGGAAACGTAGGGGAAATCCATATAGACGTCTAACCACCCACCTCTGATACTCCACTGAGAGAAATACTCCTTCAATTAATTAAATGATGGATTGGAGGCAATAAATATTTTTTCGAGTACTGTCGCCGGAGGAGGTGGTTGCACTTATCGCCTCGCGGGGCTGTCCATCAACTGCAGCGCCCCGTAGCACGGCCATCAGCCCCCACCTGTCCGCTAATAGAACCTCAAAGTGCATTTGCCTTTGTTGACATTTGGAAAATGCAAACAGAACACGCAAGACGATAGATAGTCCGTCTGGAGCGACATAGAGCGGATAGAGATATGGAGACCCGTAGCCGCAGACCATCACTCAAAGTGATTAGATCGCAGGGCGGGTAATCGAGTGTGGCTCGCGAGATACGGATGCCTGGTTGCTAGTATCTAGTCGGGCGGATAGACAGATAGCCAGATAGTCCCCTGGACGGGTAAACGGATGGACGGGTACAGATTATGTGGGAGCTTCAATTGAATTTTACGATTCCAGTGCCCCGCCGACCCGACCCTTGCGGGGAATGCCACATAAGGTTAGAGTTCTTTCGGAACCATGAACCGGAGTTGTCTCTATTTACGATATTGACACTAGGAATCGTGACTTTTCCATAATGAACGGGATTTACACGTGTTTATGGAGGGCCATAAATGGTTCGACACCTCGAGGAATTCTCCTGCTAGCCCCCACATCCGAGTCGGAAATTTCCTTTTGTAGAAGCGAAGTTGGAAATGGAATTATTATTCAGGCGG